CCCTGTAGCTCCTGGAAACCACCATTGTACTTTTTAAGCACATAAGTCTGTGAGTTTGACTATTCTAGGTATCTCATATAAGCGGGATCATACAATATATGTCTTTTGTGACTGGCTAATTTTACTTGGCAACATGTGTCAGAATTTTATTGCTTTTTAAGGCTAAGTAATATTTCATTGCACGTACATGCCACATTACATTTATCTATTCATCCCTCAATGGACACTTGGGTTACATCCATTGTTTGACTATTGTGAATAATGCTGCTATGAACATAGGTGTACAAATATTCGTTTGAGTCCCTGCTTTCAGTTCTTTTGAGTATATACCCAGAAATGGAATTGCTAGATAACATGGTAATTCTTTTTAATTTTGAGGGGAATTGTCTTGTTTCCAGAGTATCTGCACTATTTTACCTTTTTATATTCCCACCAACAGTGCACAAGGATTCCAGTTTCTCCATATCCTCACCAACACTGGTTCTTTCCTTTTTTTTTTTTTTTTTTGCATGATAAGCCATCCTGGTGGATGTGAAGCAGTATCTTCATTGTGGTTTTGATTTGCATTTTCCTAATGATTAGTGATGTTGAGTGTCTTTTTTATGTGCTTATTGACCATTTGTATATCTTCTTTGGAGAAATATCTTTTCAAGTTCCTTGCCCATTTTTTAATCTGATTATTTGCTGTTGAGTTGTAGGATTGCTTTATACTAGTTATTAACCCCTTCTCAGATACGGTTTGCAAACATCTTCTCCCATTCTGTGAGTTGACCTTTCACTGTATTGATAGTGTCTTTTGATGCATAAAAGTTTTTCATTTCGATGTACCTGTTTTTTCTCTTGCCTGTGATTTTAGTGAGGTATCCAAGAAATCATTGCCCAATCCAGTGTCATGAAACTTTTCCCCAATGTTTTCTTCTAAAAATTTTATAGTTTTAGCTGTTACACTTAGGTGTTTAATCTGTTTTGAGTTAATTTTTGTATATGGTAAGGTAAGGGTCCAGCTTAATTCCTTTGCATGTATATATATCCAAAAAAAAGTTTGTATTTTTGTTTCTGATCATTTCATTTTGCTATATATACATTTTTGTTTTACCTCTTTCCAATCTTTTAAACATGAAACAAAATTGGAACATACAGCTTTAGAAAAACAAAAATTGACAATACCATTGAGTATTATCTTAGAGAAATATTCAGTCCACTGCCTTTTATAATATGTACCTTATACTTCTGACTCCTCTTCTTTTTCTTTCCTCTTACAGATTTTCTCAAGGTCAGCAACTTGTGACCAAATTAGTAACTGCTCCGGTAGCTTGTGGAGCAGTCATGGTACCTAGCACTATGCTTATGGGTCAGGTGGTGACTGCCTACCCTACTTTCGCTGCACAACAGCAACAGTCACAGACATTGTCAGTTACACAGCAACAGCAGCAGCAGCAGCAGCAGCAGCAGCAGCAGCAGCAGCAGCAGCAGCAGAGTTCCCAGGAACAGCAGCTTACATCAGTTCAGCAACCGTCTCAGGCTCAGCTGACCCAACCACCACAGCAATTTTTACAGGTAATTCTCCCCATGGGGAAGCATTCCCAAACCCTTACTTTTATCTAATGAAATTAGCCATTAGATGAACACTTTTGTAAATGATCTGAAAAATTCATAAGAGCTTATCATACAAGTTAAATTTCTGTAAAGACAGAGTTTGTCCCGGTCAGCTGTATTTCTTCCCTGTTTAGTCTTTGGAAGATTTTTAACCCTGCCATGCACATATCATCTGAACTACTGGATAGAGTAAGTGGCTACTTCTGCCCACATCAAGGCACTTTATAGAGAGCTCTCTCTGGCTAGAGTTTCTGGAATTCAAGCAAAGGCATCTTCTCTTTCTTTCTCTAGTGACCTATCAATAGTTTAATATCTGTACAGGGCAGGGGTATTAAACAGGATTAAAAAAATTAATATGGGCATTATCTTAAATAATTTTTTTGGATTAAATTTTATAATATTTTTGGTTATAAATTAATATTAGAAATACTGTGGACACAGTATATGTCATAGTTAAGCACTTGGACTCTAAAGTCAGATTGCCCTAAGATTCAGTCACTGCTGCTTTACATATTGTGTGACCTTTCACAGGTTGCTTAACTTGCTAAACTTCAGTTTCTTCATCTATAATATGGAGGTGCTAATAGTGCATATCTCATGGGTAAAACATGCATATAAATCACCGAACATAGTTAGTATAAGACATACAATTGGCTGTTGTTTGTGACCACGAATGTTAAACACTTAGATTAACCAAAATGCAGACACGGTTCACGTGTGAGTATATCAGACTAGATCTACTTACCTGAAGGCTACAGAAGAAAGTCACCTAGGGTTGGTATCCTCAGCAAGGAAATTAGGACAGATTTCTGAATCCCAGTACCCTCTCTGGGAATACAGAGGAGCAGATTATGACATCTGGAAATTCAGCTTTTTCTCTTCTGGCCTAGACAGAGCAATTTTGAATGTAGGCTAATCTAGTTTTTTGCTGGAGACCACTCCATGTAAGCCAGGCACATAATATCAATTTTGGAGTTTTACAACATATGGTATAATTAGAAGACTTAGCATTATACTGTATTCTCAGGCATAACTACAGTGTTAATTTGCCACCCTTGGAGTTCTGGTCCAAATTATAATTCTTAACTTGGTGACATGGAAAATTAAAACAGGCTAGTAGCCTAAATCTCTCTCAAGTCATACTCAACAGCCTGTTAGACATTAAGACTATAGTATAGCCATTAATGACTGGCTTAACTATTTTTATAAATGAACTAATAATCTGAATTCATAACTTATAAACTGCTATCTAGGGGAAATATATTCAGTGAGAATTAAAAAAGGAGAGGACTTGCCTTAAGGCCTCAGTCTTCTACGTCTGTTAGAACGAGGGCCCTTAAAAGAATGAGTATTCTCTTCTCCCCCATTTGTTAAAAAAGCATTCCAAAGACAAGGGACCGCTGAAGCAATAAGATAAGTGACACCCTTCAGAAAAACACTCATGCGTAGATAGTAAATACACAACTCTCATGTAATACCTAGTTCCATAATGTACCTCTGTTGTGACCCTGTAAGGCTCATGAATATCCTCAGTTGTTTATCTTACAAAAATTTTTCCTAATAATGGAGAGAAAAAGCAAATTGTTCAGGTCCTTGGCAAAGCTTAATAATGGTTCTTAAAGTTCAAAGATCTATTTGTGTATTCATGCGCATACGTGTCCTTCATATATATTTGCAAAAATCACCCATCACAGTTCTCTTTTAAAGTTAGGACCCTGTTCCAAGTTATATTGTCAGTAGTGAGAAAAGACATTCATTTTAAAAATCCACTTTGTTTTGCCTAGTTTCTTTTGCATCTCCAGAAGTAGAAATTAGGTGAAAGAAACTGAGGCTCCTGGAGTTGAGACTTGCCCAAGCTCACACAGCTAAACAATGGCAGAGCAAAGCTCAATCCAGAGCTTCTGGCTTCAGATCCTGTGCCCTGTTTTGTTTTGTTTTGTTTTGTTTTGTTTTTGGTTATACCAGACTGCTATAAATAGAACTTAAGTCTCTAACTTTGCCCTCATTTTTATAATACTTTTAAATAATAATGATGTTAATATTTAATCTTCATAGAAACCCAATATGGGAGGCAGTGTGATTATCCTTATTTTGTGAATGAAAAAACGGAGGCCCAGGGAAGTAAAGAGCTTGACCAAGGCACATATTTAGTGAATGGGCAGCCAGAGTTTGAACCCAGACAGTGTACCTCAGGGCCCGTGTCAGCCTCTGAACTACTGGCTTCTCTAACCAACCGAATGAACCTATGCAAAGGCATTGCTGTTTGGCTTCAGAGTATTCATGTTTCATATTTTCTTACCTATGCTTAAAGTTTATTATCTGTTAAAAATTGTGGTCTTTAGAACATATAAAGTGAAAGAATATGTGTGGTTTGTCTCAAGACATAGATTGATTGCTTTCTGTACCAGAAATTCTCCTGCTTAGGTTCCTTTAAAAAATGAAATTCTGCTCTACTTTCAAAAAGAGAGAAAGCCTTATAAGCATTTTCCAAAATATTGTTTTTAAATGAGAGAGCAAAAATTAGATAGATTATGTGGAATATAAGGATTTCGTCCCAATGGAGACTGGAAAACCTAAGTCAACGTAGACAGCATGATGGCAGTAAAGCGATGTTTCATAATCCGTTTGTTTTAGACTTCTAGGTTGCTCCACGGGAACCCTTCAACTCAGCTCATCCTCTCGGCTGCGTTTCCACTACAACAGAGCACTTTCCCTCAGTCACATCACCAGCAACACCAGTCTCAGCAACAGCAGCAACTGAATCGGCACAGGACTGACAGTTTGACCGACCCTTCCAAGGTTCAGCCACAGTAGCACACATGCCTCCTCTCTGACCTCAAGGGAAGGAGGAGCTGGCCAAAATAGTTGCTGAGATGATCTGAGGATCAGGAGGAAAAGTTCCAGCAGTTTCATGAGATGCATGAGTGTTCTAGTTCCTCAAATTAGTTAGCAGGGAAAATGCTGCCTAGTGCTACAGATGTACATCAAATACCAGCCAGCAGGAGATGATCATAGGGCCATAGCCAATTCTGACAGTGTTTTACTAGCCCAGATATTTTTTGATGGAAAGAGTATATTGCCAAATGTTAAGAAGCTCAGCTATGAAATGTGACCTCCAGTGAATCAGAAAGGTACTAACAATGTTAGTAACTTTCAGTGGTTCTGCGCCTGTTTTCAAGTGTTACAGAGGACACGCCACTGCCATGTCAGGGGGTTGCTTACAGTGATGCCGTGAAGACAGTCCAGTAGGCCCAGTAGGCCCACTTTCCCAACCCCTCTCCCTTTTCAGAGAATGATGGAATCATAATTAATTTCAGAATGTTGTGTGGGTTCAAATTATGTACAGATGCTGTAAAAATATTATGTATATGTCTGGAAAGAAGGAAAGAAAGCAAAACATTTTATATGCTGCATGAAAGCATTATCTCCCCCTTATAAGTGTGAATATGTTTCCTTAGATTCTGATGCCGTGTGCAAACTAATACATCCTTCGTTTCCCCTTTTGTTTACAACATGATAGTGTTCTATTTGCTTTTCCGGGGCACAAGTCTTTTGTTCATACTTGGCTGTGATGTCACAGTTTGTTTAGTGAGATATGATGTGCTGCTGGGAATGGATTTTTTTTTCAGGTTAAATTATTGAAATAATAGGATTTTCAAGTTATTCAGAAATCTCTCTCATTTCATTGTTTTTCAATTATGTTTGAAAATAGGATTTGCACTGCTTTATTTTAGAAGGTTGGGAATTTTGATCACATATTTTGATATAGTTCATAGTTGGAAATAGTTGTGTAAATGGTTTTCAACAAGCCTGAAAGTAATTTCAAGAATGTTTCAGTGTAGGAGTAAAATTTGCACACAAAACATTTTAGGCACTTTTTAACATTCTCACTGGTGGGAATTTTAACTTTTAGGATTTGTTGGAATCTTTTTATTATCCTTCACAATTTCAATGCTTATTTTAGTCAGAAATGATTCAGGGTTATTTGAGGGGGGAAAAAAAACCCATAGTGCCTTGATTTTGATTCAGGTGATAACTCACCATCTTGAACTCATTGTCTGGTTTCAGTAGCAGTTTTGAAACCTTAGTACATTTTTAATAGCATGTGGGTGTCAGTGCCATTATTATTCTCCCAAGTTCCTATGAAGACTGCTTTCAGTCTCTTGGACTGGAGCTATACAGATAATTTAGAAATAAAAGATGACACATCCTAACACGATTTGTGATCACAAAATTGTTTTCCTAAATCAACATCTTCCTTTTAAGCTAAGTAGTAGTTATTTAGGAATTATCAGGAAATATTCGCTCAATATGATCTTAGTATTCCTACAAAGAAAAAAGGGGTAGGAATTGGCTTTGCCTTCACTACAACACTAAGATATTGTAACTCACATGCTTTCTAAACATGAACTAAGATTTCGTTTGGCAATATCATATTCTTAAAGGTAATTCCAACAGCAATTGTATTCATAAAAAAGCATTTTATATATTTTATGGTACTAATTAAATTTACAACTATAGAATAAAGGAAAATTAATGGAAAGTTTATTAGGATTTAAAAAATTATTACTGAGAAAAGGGAAGACAGTAAGCTGTAATAAATCAAAATTGACTTGAAAAAAATGTATAACAGAATTGAGGTTGTTAAACAGAAAAGGTTTTGAGCAATGAAAATAACCTAATACGGAATTGATAGATAAAGGAGTCAGAGGAATTCTAAGTCAGTTCTTAAAACTTTTCTGTCTTCAGCTTTGCTGTCATCCTTAAGGGATATGTTTTGTCTTTCTGTAGAAGATTATGCCTGGCCACACTTAAATTAGAAAATTAATGTTAAAAACAACCAAAGAAAGTTGGTATCTAGCCTTCTATAAAAGAAGTATCACTAGATACCAATCAGTAATTAACATATCAAGGAGCTCCTCTTCTAGCTAAATGATCATCCAGAATAGATTTCTGACTTTCTCATGAATGTCAAGGATAGTTGTCAGAACATGTACTTGAGCCATACATACACTGACAAAATTGATGTTGTAGAATATGGTAACAGTACTTTCTCCCCTTTCAAATTGCCTTTCTTAACCTTATCATGCCATAGGTATCTGACTTGTGCCTCATTCATTTATTGGTGATATCTAGTGATATGCATTTAGCTAATAAAAGGTATGAAGAACTGTTACATTAAGGTTTAGTTAGGCTCTAAGAGAGATACTTAAGAGAAACATGGTGGACCGTGGTACTGTGTACCTAGGTTAACAAAAGCAAAGCTCAAGACAAGCCACAAGGTAAATGAGAAAATCAGACAAAATTTTGCATTTATAATTCCTGTTCCTGACAGTTCTTTTTTTTTTTCTGGTTAGAATTCGTTGCTAAATTTAAAGGAGCAGCTAGCTGCTTTTTCTTTGCTGTCAGCATGCAGCATTGTGTTGGAAGAGGTGGTAAGCACCAACTGCCTCTTAGCTCCTTCTTTAACTTCGTTTTCCTTCTTTGTCTCTTGAGCTTGGATTGCAAAGCTGTCCCTGCCCACTCCCCCACGAATGGAGATTTGAGCAATCTGACGAAGATGCAACACTTGCCTGTTCTTCATTCATTTCTGTAGCCAAAGTCGTTAATTAAAATTCTAAAACTAAGTCATGAAAAGACACCAGAGACACCTCTCAGCTACTTAAAAATTGTATCTTCCTTCTGCTGCTTTACTGTCATAGTCAGTTTTTCTTTAAAAAAAAAAACAAAAAAAAAAACCCCACTTTATTGTGGGTGGTACTTTTTAGTGAAGAAACCGTTGAAGATAAGGAAAAATGTCAGCTATTCTGCAGTTATTATCTTGCTTTGGACTGCTGTGGCACTGTGTGCGTCAGTATTGTTTTAACAACTACTAGCGAGAACTGCAAGGACTAATAAAGTTGCTACTGGGAGGGCTGTCAAAACAACTTAGACACTCAAAAATACTCCGTTTTTTGAGTGGAAAATATGGGTGGAAAAGCAGACAAGGGACAAGGGGTAACATGTAAGTAAATACATTTCAGTCTCCAAACTGTGTCCTAAGTTGAGGGGGTAATTTGAGTCTTGTGCTCTGCTTTGTCACTTAAATCTGGTCTAGGAATGTACTAGTAATAAAAGGATACCAGCAAATTCGAATGGTTATATTCAGTGTGGAATAGTGAAAAAGTTATTTGGATTCTTCAGAAGTGCTGTAGTCTAGTGGTTGGTCATTGCCTTAAAGCAGTCTGCTTGCAGTTAGTTAAGGGCATTGAAGCAGTGCAGCTCTGTAAAGGGCAGTGTGTGTGGAAGGGAGACAAACCCTTGTTCGGGAAGCCTTAGATAGGGGCCCTACAGACAGGTGAAAGTTGTTTTAAACTGGATAAACATGTTTTAAAATGTTTCCACTACATTGAGGTAAACTTTTAAAAAGTGGAATGCAAATAGCATTTTACTCTAGTATTGCTCATTTATACCTTTTTCTTTTTCTGTATTTCTTTGGTGATTGAAAGTTTATTAATGAACATTTGTGTAAAACTCAATTCAAATCTATAACCTTTCCAATATCTGTGATCCTGTTCATAGTCCCTCGGGAGTCAACGTTGGAAGGTATAAACACTGGATATTACTATTGCTGAGTGAGTCTAGCCCGGAGTAAGCTGATTGGAAATTTTAGATGGTGGAAAAGAAACAGCACAAGACACTTGCCAATTTATTAGTGATAGGAGAAAGAGAACCTTTTAAGTTTATTTGGGTTGGATGAGCATTCTTCTAAAGGAGCTTCTGAAGTAATTGCAAAGGAAAAGAGTCGACTATTTTTATAGCATATTTAATATATTTGTATATAACTATGAATATAGTAGGAACCCCCCACATCCTTCCACTTTTCTAATTTCCTCCCCCCTTTGCCATAGCACTAGTATAGCCTCATCCGCATGGGTAATGTGCCTATTGTCAGCCTACCAAAAGATAGTGCTGCTGCTTTCTGAGACAGGTGAGAAGACCCAACTCTCATGCCTGGGGATCCTTTATGTAGGAATAGCACACACTTTTAAAACAACATACCACAGTCTAAAAGCATCATTTTGAAATGTAATAAGCACTTTATTGCAATTATTCATTTTGATAAAGTTTATTATGTTAGGCATTACCATTTCTAAAGGATCCCCAAATCATCACTTAGGTGAAATTTAAAAATGACACATTTCTGAGAAATGTTTAGATCCAGTGAACCATAGTAGGTTTATGGGAGTGATTTCAAGGTAGCCAAATGAACTTTGACTTTTGCTTTGAATGTGTTGGAGTTGAGATTGTAGATACTAGTTCCACTTAGACACTATTGTAAACCCATCTTGCCTATTGTGTGGACACCAAAAGAGACCAATGAGCCTGTTTATTTTCAGAGGTCTAGGAAAATTGCATCAGTGTGAATAGATGTATAAAACTAACCTAAAAGTGATTGTTAGTAATATTTTAGAATACAATCATTTCAAGAATTATTCTGGGTATTTTACATGTGCTCTGAAATGTTGGCATGTCATTTCAGCGTTTCCATTTGAATTGCTCTTGTAATATTTTTGCACAAAAAAGACTGAGAAAAAAGACTACTTTGATTGAAGTATAATTTGGTCTTAATGACTCCTGTGGAAACACTGGGAGTGAATTTTGTTGGTATGGTTATTAATTCAGGATATTTAAAACAGTATTGAACAGCTCACAAGAAATTAAACGTGGATATTTAAAAATTAAAACTTTCCATGTGAATGTTTTGCATATTTTCCCCCATGTCATAATTTAACACTACATTCCTTGTTTTTCTTAAATAAAATACTTTGCAGGTTCTGTTTTGAGTATTTAACAATGTTTTGTAAGCTGCCTGGGTTTTCCTAGGGGAATGTTCTTTAATGAAATAGGATATAGTTTATGAAGAGACTATTAAATGAAATTCCATCACCACCACCAGCAAACACTGAGGTGCTGCATTAAGTGACAATCAAATAGTATTTATGGAAGAATTTAGTAAGTGGTTTTAAAAGACGAAATTGCTTTGTAAGCAGTCCTCTGAGTTTCTTGAATAAAAAATGGCTACATGTATTTATTTATATTTTTAAATATCTTTGTGTTCTGTTTTCTCATCAAATGATTTATTTCACAGTGTCATGTATTTAATTTGTGGTTGTTTTGCCTTTTAATCACTTAAGAACTGGCTCTTCTCTGGGGTGCAGTCTCTAGCCCTCAATGACGACTCTTCATGGGCAATCCAAATCTTTTACTGCAGGACAGCAGTGGAGGGCCCAAATCCAGACGCCTCTGCACTTCCCTCCTGGTCTCAACTCAAATAATTTAAGAAAAAAAGAAGAGTAACTAACTCCTTTCAAATCTGCTTCGTATAGCTCCAACATTTTTCTAGTTTCACTTGCTGCCTTTTCTATTTGGGAGGGCACTTATATTACTTCCCCAACACAGCCAAAGGCCAGTATGACAGAACCAATGGCACACGTTTCCTATTTTGCCCATTTGGGGAAGTGTCAGTAAAACCCTTCAGCATTTTCTAATGGCCGTTACTATCCATATTAAAATCCATATAAAGTCTTTAAATATAGGTAGAACAATGTATACATACTGCAAACTCTTCTACAAAAAAATGTTTGCTCTCTTCACCGGTTGCTTGGTCCTTTAAAAACAAAACCAAACCTCCATACTGTCCAGTAAAGCGGTGTTAGAACATTTGAAGCCTAGAAATTTTAGGATACTTCATGCCGATTTGCGCTGGGACAGAATTCCTCACTTTAGGACTCCCAGAGTAGCTCTTGAGTCCCACAGGCCAGCTGCAGGGCACACTGTCTAGCTTTCGGGATCTTAGGGAATGGTAACTGAAGCAAATCAACCACAAGTTGGATTTAATGATGTAAAAAATGTGTCTTAACTCTGAGGGTTAAGTTGAAGATGTGATGTTTTCAAATGCATGCTTTTTACATTTCTGAGGAAACAAACTGTGACATTGCTTTAAAAATGACATTCAAATGTTTTATAATCAGTGTTTTTGAGTTGGCCTGTATTGGTACAAATTCACTGCTGGCAGTTGTGCCAGTATTAGTGTTAAAATGTAGGAAAAGCTATATTATCTTCAGATTGATGTATTATATAACTAGACAATCATCAAGCAAAAAAAAAAAATAAGGCCAGAAAATGTCCTTTTTCTTTTTTCAATAACTATGTCAGCCAGACATCTGTAACTTAAAATTATTTTGAAGTCTGTTCTACAGTATAAGTTGGGGAAGGATCTCTGTATGGCACTTATACCTTCACTCTATGTAAAGATTGAAGCCCAAAGATGAGTTAAATTCAGTGCTGTATTGAAACCAGTTAGTGCAAAAAAATGTTTTATCTTTGTAAATTTCTAATTGTTAACATCAGTTGGTAGCTTAAAAACATACACCAAATTCTAATGTTCTGTGTGGTTCTTAGTGTGCTACACTTCCTGTCCTTATTGCTTGGTTCTTGGTTTTAATAAACTTAGATATAGCGTAATATTCTTACTGCTGAAAGGTGGAGCTGTAAATGGCTAATCTTAAGAGTACCTGTTCACTCAGGCCTCTTGCTATATGATCATTTTCCCAAGTTATGATGTGCATGATTTCTTGAAAAACTACACGTACTATTAGAAAGCTGTTTCCCATAGTTTTGTATTCAGAACCTAAAATTAATTATAGAAAAGCCAAGCAGGAGCATTGTTTTTTATAGATGTAAAAATTAGATCTAGACTGTTTCCTTATTCAATTTAAAAAATAAAAAATACCTCACTTTTTTTCAGTATCCACCTGCATTTCTCAAAAAATAACACCTGCTTTATGTGGCACATAACTTATAAGAATTGCATTATTTTGGATTTTAGAGTATTAAATATTTTTAAATGACTACCAATGAAAATTTTTTTATTCAGCAATGGAGTCTAACTGCATTAGTGATTTTTAACTTGTAGCTTAGGCCTAAGCTACCAAATTCTGATTAGTTGTCTTGTTACAAGATTGTGGTGCCTCAGAAAGCTATGCTGTTATTCACATGTTAAGCTAGTAGTAGGACCAGGCTGCCTGCAATGCCAAGTTTGGGCTCTGATGGTACCAGATACTTTCTAATAAGGAATTCTTTTCTGTTCTTGGAAAAGAAATATTATAATTCCCCACTTGCTCTCTTTATAACTAAGGCAATATTAAGGCTATGTAACTGCAGAGTATGGTGGTGTAGTCTGAGGACTTAACCTGAAATTTCTTTGAAGTGCTTTATACCCTATAATATATACTTTTTAAGGAGTTCTCTAACTACCGTGAAGTTTCCAAACATGACTTTTTCATCAGTATGTGCTACTGCTTTTTAACTGCCAACTACTTTTAGATTTCTTTACCGTAACCGTTAACTGTCTTTCCCACAGTTATTACTGCAAAATGCTTGCTGCACGGACAATGCTTTATATGATTATGAAAGATTATGTTCTTTCATAATTTCTTCAAATTATAAATTTACATTATTACAAATTACAAAATTACAAATTTACATTATGGACTTTTGTGGTAGCTCAGTAAACCTGAATTGCTCTGGGTCTACTATTTTACTTCGCACAAGGAACGTGTGGGAATTTCTATAGAACTGTCCTTTGGGTTTAAAGAGGATATTAATGGCAACTTTGCTGCTTGTGGTAACAGAAAACATCAGGCTGGGAGAAAGCAGTTATGCTGCTTATACAGAAAAGAGTCAAGTTAGAATATACTTTAATAACACTGATTACTGAAGTTGCTATGATAAAATGAGGTAGCCTTGCCATAGTCGATGATTATGGATGGGCTCTAGAATGAAACTGACTCCCCGGCTGTATCATGTAACCTTATAGTACTACCTGCTACCTCATAGAAATGTGTGAGAGTTAAGTAAGACTGCTTGACAACAATGCTTGGCTCCAGTTTTTTACATCAACTTTAGAAACTGGTCTATAAATATTAATCCTACTTTGATAAATCAGAAAGTTATGAACTTGTATAACACAAAAGGGAAAAACAAGCACAGGTCATACCACTTTTATTTGTATTGTATCTCTGTTACATTGTTTATTCAGTATAGAAAAAATATGAATACACTCATAGTATTCTCTCTTAATTTGGTAATTCCACATTGTCAAATATTGACTGTTTTTATATTGGGTTTCCTACCCAATTAAAAAAGAAGAATGGACCTGGCAAACAATTCTTGTCATATTATTGATATAACAGTACAGTCATCCCCTGGTATTTGAGGGGGGATTGGTTCCATGACCCTCCCCCAACCCTACGGTTGCTCCAATCTCTTAAATATAATGGCGTAGTGTTTTCATAACCTATGCACATCCATATACTTTAAATCATTTCTAGATTATAATTCGTGATACAATGTAAATGCTATAGTTATTATGCTGTATATAGGGAATAATGACAAGAAAAGACTGTGCATGTTCAGTACAGACACAACCGCCTATTGCAGGCCTAACTACAGAGTATATCAGCAACAATGTAACATTTTTTCAAATATTCTCCATCTGTGCTTGGTTGAATCTGTGGATGCCAACCAATGGATATGGAGAGCTGACTGTAATTCATTTCTCTTGCCTTTTATTTATTTTTTAAAAACCCTCATTTTGAAAAGACATGATTTAAACTACTGCTTACTGGCTGGGGTAAATACTTTAAAAATAGAAACTGATTCATTCTTCCCCCAGGAAAAATTTTAAGATAAACATCTTAAAATATCTCAGTGATTCAAGAAGAAATGTATATTCCTTATAAAGGGGTCAGTGCTGAAAGAAAATCAAGTGGTAGATTCCACTGCACAATGGTTCTGTATACACTGCCCCCCTGAAAAAAGTCAAGAACACTCTCAAAAATGGAGACCATATTAACATAATTATGCTAGAGAAAAGAAAAATCCACACTTACAACATCAGGTTTCTTTTAAAAATCCATGTTGCAAATAGAATCAATGATTATTTCTTTTGGACATAATAACTCATTGCTACAAAGTACAGTTATTTTCTATTACTTAGTTATAATGTACACTATGTACATAAACACAAGAGTGACCTATCTTTAACTACAAATGAACAAATAGTTTGTTAAAAACCAGAATCAGGACTTATAAATAGTGCAGAAAATGCAAATGCCAAAAATACGATGCCTCCTATGATTGTCACTGTAAGAGAAGAGAAAAAAGTCAAATAAGGCAAAATGACATTATATTGAGACAGTGCTGACAAGCAACAATAGAGCTATAATTCATTTTAAAACCTAATTATAAAAGACGATGTTCAACAACTGGCTAGCAAGAAGACTGTTTTTATGCCATCTTTAAGGCCTACCAACTACATACAAAATTTGCAGCAGAATCAGTAAATACAGTATAATTCCAAATCTTTAGGCATTTTTAGGCCAAAAAGTTATATTTCCAACATGATTGTTTTATTGACTTAAATTTATCTTAACAAAAAGCTACCATGAATCCAGCAATGCTTACAGATTAATTTGTATTTTACAACATCTACACAGTCCATATTTGCAACAGCAGGGGGAACTCCTCTCTCTAGGAAGTTATTACACAGACAAGTCTCCTTCAGAAGTAAAAACTTAAAACAGTGCCCCTTTCTAATCTATCTCTGATTCTAAGAGTTAAGACAAATGGTAATTTTTTTGTAATTCAAAAACAACTTACCAGTTCTGACAGAGATTTTTTGTGCTATCATTCTTCCTCCAATTACAGCCAATCCAGTACATAAGCAGTGTCCCACAGTTCCACCCACTGCTACACCATAGGGGTCCTGCAAACAAATGTAACAGTCACTTAATGAAACTGCTACCTTATAAAGGTAACTATTAAGCACTGAAAACAGAGATCAACAGCAAAAAAGCATACCAGTTAGAAAAATTAAGGTGTATAATTTATGAAAAGTGTAACAGCTGCTTGAAGGAATATGTTCCAATTATTCCTGGGACTAGGGAGGTGCTGCAGTAATGTCACATAGCAAGAGATTCAAACTCAGTCGTCATGTCCACACTGCTAGACCACGGTAATTCATACAGACAGGGAATCCCGAGCCTTTCTAGTCACTGTGCTGTTCAGATGATAGTATTAAGAAAAAGGCAATGATTCTGCCATCACGATAGCTCACCACAGCAGGACCACCACCACAACTATATAGCCACTTTCAAGTCCCAATCTTGGCAATCTGAAAGCTAATAATGTCCACAAACCAAGAAAAAGATAGGGCAAAGCCATTAAAGTGACATTGTAAAAGCTTGTTTTAAAATATGGGAATCAAATGAAAACAATTCTATTTTTTTTTTCCAAAATAAAGCATTTTTGAGGCTTCTCTGACAAAATGGTTCTGCTCAAACTATCTTAGTCCTGGCCTTCAACTCTTGTTTTATATTTTAAATTGCAGCCTAGGTTAAGGAACTTATATTTTTTGATAGATATTTCCTAGGAGTTAAATTCAAATCAAGCTTGTTATCTAAACCCTACCATCCAATAAAAACAATGTAACAACATATAAAAACAGGTAAGAAATATCAAGATCAAGAAAAGCCTGAAAAGTAGCGGCAGCATTCCAAAAATTCCACAACCATCTCCTCAGTACATCTTAACAAATTTCTGTGAACATTAACAGACTTCTCATGTAAAACTTTACTACTCTCAAGAGAAAGATTAAAAAATTTTAAAAATGGGAATCTTTTAAGTGGCATTATTTGACAACTATGAACAAAATGTAGAAGAGGCTAGAAGGCAGACAGCCATAACTCCAGTCCTTGTCCCTGCTACCCATTAGCTTATGTCCTCAGAAAAGGTTCTATTAGGTAGACTACCTAAGAGTCGTGCTGTAGGAAGCAGCAACCTCTCCTCTTCCTCTCAGCTATCCGCTTGGCAGCCGCAGAGCAGCAGTCATGCGTGAGTGCATCTACATCCACGTTGGCCAGGCTGGTGTTTAGATTGGCTATGCCTGCTGGGAACTCTACTGCCTAGTACATGGCATCCTACCTGATGGCCAAATGCCAAGTGACAAAACCATTGGGGATTGGGGGAATGAGTCCTTCAACACCTTCTTCAGTGTGACAGGCACTGGCAAGCATGTGCCCAGGGCAGTGTTTGTAGACCTGGAACGCACAAGTCATTGATGAAGTTCACACTGGCACCTACTGCCAGCTCTTCCACCCCAAGCAGCTCATCACAGGCAAGGAAGATGCTGCTAGTAACTATGCTCACAGGCACTACACCACTGGCAAGGAAATCACTGACCTTGTCTTGGATCAAATTCGGAAACTGGCTGACCAGTGTGCAGGTCTTTAAGGCTTCTTAGTTTTCCATAGCTTTGGTAGGGGAACTAATTCTGGGTTCACCTCCCTGCTGATGGAATGTCTCTGCTGATTATGGCAAAAAGTCCAAACTGGAGTTCTCCATTTACCCAGCACCCCAGGTTTCTATAGCTGTAGTTGAGCCTTACAACTCCATCCTCACCACCCACACCTGGAGCACTCTGATTGTGCCTTCAACTGCCAATGAGGCCATCTATGACATCTGTCACAGAAATCTTGATATTGAGTGCCCAACCTATACTAACCTGAATAGAGTAATAGGTCAAATTGTATCCTCCATCACTGCTTCCCTGAGATTTGATGGAGCCCTGAACGTTGATTGGACAATCCCGACCAACCTGGTGTCCTATCTCCACATCCACTTCCCTCTGGCCACATGTGCCTGTCATCTCTGCTGAGAAAGCCTGCCATGACCAGCTTTCTGTAGCAGAGATCACCAATGCGTGCTTTGAGCCAGCCAACCAGATGGTGAAATGTGACGCTCGCCACGGTAAATACATGGCTTGCTGCCTGTTGTACCATGGGTTATGTGGTTCCCAAAGATGTCAATGCTGCCATTGCCATCATCAAGACCAAGCGCAGCACCCAGTTTGTGGACTGGTGCCTCACTGGCTTCAGAGTTGGCATTAATTATCAGCCTTCCATTGGAACCTGGTGGAGACTGGCCAAAGTACAGTGAGCTGTGTGTGTGCTGAGCAACACCACAACTGTTGCTGAAGCCTGGGCTCGCGACCTGATGTATGCCAAGTGTGCCTTCGTTCACTGGTACGTGGGTGAGGGCATAGAGGAAGGAGAGTTTTCTGAGGCCCATGAGGTCATGGCTGCCCTTGAGAAGGAGGATGAGGAGGTTGGTGTGGGTTCTGTTGAGAGGGTGAGGAAGGAGAGGAGTACTAAAGTTAAAATGTCACAAAGGTGCTGCTTTTACAGGGAATGTTATTCTGTTTTAAACATTGAAAAGTTGTGGTCTGATCAGTTAATTTGTACGTAGCAGTGTATACTCTTACATACAGTTACTGGCTTATGCTCTAAAATACGAAGCTTTATTACAGACCCAAGCCGTCCATTTCTCTGATGGGTTTGAATAACGTATTCCTTGTCTTAAATAGAAAAAGAAAAGAAAAAAGTCACCCAATCTCTCTGGGGCCTCAGGTTCTTTATCAGTAGAACAAAGGCTAGAACAAGATGATCTGAAATCTCTTGTGGCTTACCATCCCAGGACACAGTATGCTGGGGCTAAGACTTAACAAATTTTCTAAGTTATCGTTGCAAAAATCTATTTCAATACAAGGAACAGAAGAACCCAAAGATATACACTTTTAAGGTTTTAGATATTTAATGCCAAATTGGCCTTCAATAATATTCTATCAATTTATATTCTCAATAACTATACAAAGGAAGGTTCTAAGGAAAGAAAGAAAACCAAGCCAGGCCAACTGCCACGGCATCATTTTGGCAAAACTGAAGGGACTAGGAGTCAGCAAGATGAGTTGAGAGCAACTAAGTCTGTACACCAGAATACCATCTGATTGCAAAAACCGAGAAGCGAGTTTTAAAGAGCAGCAGCATTACTACCTCTAAAACAAATAGTATAGCATGTGAAATAGTCCCTTGTCCCACCTCAACTTTGTCCAGTGTCCTCTGGAGTAAAGTAACATTAGTTATGCTCAGTTTAAATACAGAAGCAGTTCTCTCTCAAGCTGCCACTCACCTCTCTAGCTGCCAAAACAATCGTAGTTAGTTGAGAGCGATCGCCCCACTCTGCTAAGAATGTTAATGTAAGAGCTTGAACAAAGATGGGTGAAATAAAATGCAGCCACTTTTTCTGAGGTATCGTGGTGCTTGTACCCGTTTCAATATCTCCTGGTCCATTTAAGAGTTTGGTTCGTTGAAACTAAATTTAAAAAAAAAAAAAAAAAAGACAATCTCAGGAAGCAAATAAAATAGCACAAGATTAATCTTTCTTTTATAAAGTGTTTAAAGTCTATGGAATATGCTCCAAGAAACTAGTTATGTGACTTCAAACTTCTCTTTTGAAGCACTGGTCTCACATAGCAACAAATGCTATATTCTCAATTCCTTCATTCCTCTCCAAGAAAATAAACAATATTTACTGATCACTTGCTAGGCTAGATACTGTGAGAAGAAACATAAAATTTTAGACAGACGGTTATAAACAATCTAATTAAGGAACCTGATTACATGTGTTCAGTATTCATCCTCATGTCCTCTCTCTATTCACACTAACCCAGAGTCACATCACAGCCAGGTATAATGGAAACTAAAATAATAAGCTATATTTTTGTAGCCCATACATATCAAACAGCTATGGATGGCCACTAAAAAACCTCTAGATAGTGTTTACTCTTAGTTGGGTGCCTTTATGGTCCAGATCTTTAACAGTGCTATGACTTACTTCTTCATCTTTTTTCTTTAATTCTGCTTGAACTTCTTCCAGTTCCTCTTGACCTTCATCTGGACTCATTTTTAAGCCTTCTCGAAGCATTCTAATGCCAAAAATGGCAAATAATGCAGTTGAAACATAGTATGTATACACCCTAGGGATGACTGTGGTGGCATAGCCGAACAAAACTGGAAGAAAATGCAACAGTATATATGGTTACTAAGCATGTATCTCAACCAAACAAAGGAACAGTTACCTTCAGAAATCATAACTTACCACTGTTTTAAAGGAAAAAATGGTTCACATTAGAAACTAATGTAATATGCAATAACCTTAAATAATTCCACGTCTTTCCTTTCACCAACATTGAACCCTTAGGTCTAGCCAATTACCTAACATAGTTTATAGAAATCAATGGTCCAGCTGAAGACAGCATGGGTTCCACTGGGATAGCTCATGAGACAGATAATGAACTTCTCTACGGACACATCCAGCCAAAGGCTGGCTTGGTACGTATCATGCAGAGCATGGTACTTTAGGTAGAAAGTTATCTTTGACGCCCTCTAAGGATTCCAAGATCTTATAACCTGGAAGCTACACCACCTTCCCATATAAGTGATATTTCTTCATCACAAATCTTTATATTATAAATTTCTATAGTAAAGAATCATAACAAGATTCTCATATGGCTTGATTCAAATTCTGCTCCTTTGGAACTATTTAAAATAAAAATATAAAAAAACGAATTCCTTATACATATATTAAAAAGACATTTACAACAAACTCAAACTTATTCAGTATCATTCTTTCCTATCGTTAAGAGAGCAATTGTAGAAGTTACACAATAAACTACACTTGGAACTACATCAAGAACTCAAATCCTAACTGTGAAACACATATCAGTAATATCAGTTCAGTAATTAAAATTTAAAAACTATGGAAGGGCCAGAGGGTATTTTCATATATATAATAAATGCAATTATTCTTCACCAGCTTGTTATAAAATGGGTGCAATAGTTATAAATCTGCCTGAATATTAAGTGTATAACTGCATAGGTAAACAACCCTCTATTTCATTATATGACAAAATTGAAAAAAAAATTTTAAATCATGTTTAGAAATGTACCAGATCTATGCTATGTGCACATCTACATTCAAATTATATGCATTTATTTTCATGATACAAACATTTTCTAGTTCTGTCCACTGAAAAGGCCAAGAAGCAAAAACATCTCAGTAATAGCCAATTTTGCACCTAGACCTTAGTTTCTAATAGCATTCTCCACTAAAAGGCTCCTCAGAGAAATGGCTAATTCCAGGACTGGACAGAGCAGGTCCAAAATAAGCTTGCACTATCTTGTTATACTAGAAAGGAAGAACAAAAACAAACAATGGGAACACGTCACAAGGACATAGGAGCCAGCCTGGAGGAGCTCCCAGCCACCCAATCTGGGATAATTTAAGCAGCAATATAGTTAATTAGAAACCACTGAAAAAGGGCATTCATGAGTTTATACCAATAATAGACAAGCCAGCCAATGGGAGAAGACAGAGAGCTCTTTCTTAGAGTCCTATGCAAGGCTCACTGGTAAATGCAGATGGGGTACTGGAGTTAGAAAGCCACTTTGCAAGTATCAAGGGAAAATTTAGATCATGTAAGAGTTATCAACTAATGCTAAACTATGGAGAACAGGGTTTTTGCATTGTCTTAAAGTGTCTCCTTAAAGATTGCATACTAGGTGCAAAGAAAGAAAAAAAAAGAGTATTACAAGAGCGATCTTAACAGGGTAATTAAAAGAACATTATCAACGAGGGCCAGATGTGATGCTCTTACAGGGACAAACATCAGCTATGCAGTGTTCTAGTCAAGAATGCATAACCTCAATCTAATAATGAAGAAACATCAAAAACAAAATGAAGATTAGTCCATTAGAGGAGGAGGGGCTATATTCTTTAAAAAATGATAACATCCTAAAACATATAAGAAAAGGCTGTGGAAACATTTCGGATTAAGAGATTAAAAAGAACTAAACACCTGACCTAGACTAGATCCTCTATGGAAGAGGGAAAAACTGCTATAGAAAATATTATCGGGTCTACTGACAAAATATGGGTGATAAATTAATGTATCTATGTGTATAAAGATATATATTAAGTTACATGTATACTATATATCTATAGATATATAAACTGTGTATATGTACAATATTATCTATATATAAATCATGTATACATATAATTTTATTTAGCTATAAATGGATAGCTAGGTCACAAATGATAAAGCAAACAAAGTAAAATGTTAATGACAGGGGAACCTGGATAAAAGGGACACAGGTGTTCTTTGTATTATTTGATTTTTGCAAACTTTATAAACTTAAAATGTTTTCTATAAAGACATTTAAAAATTTTTTAATGAAATGTAGCATACCTTTTTAAATCTCCTAAACTTAGTTTTCCTTTTATCTTCAGATAATCTAAAAATGACCTGTTACTTACCTTTACAATCCCATCTTTTCTGCCTTCACAACGCCATAGACTGTAAAAAAACCACTTGGCATTCCAACTTTGTTGTTCTCCCCTGGTTACTGTCCCTCTATTTCCTTTCTTTGGAAACCTTTCCTCAGACACTCAAGCACTTTTGCTCTGGGAACAATGAAAGATTATTTCTCTTTAAGCAGGTGCTTTGCACCAAGTCAGAACAGAGCCAAAAAGGTACTGGTCCTTCTACATCTTGGCAGTGTTGAAGTTCCAAGAAAAGTATCTGAAGTGAAGATACAGATTTGAGAATCACTGACTTACAGGTAACTGAGAACACCTGGCATGAGAACATCAGTGAGAGGGAAAAAACGGGCCAAGGATAAAACTGTAGAGAATATCAATATTTATAGTACAATTTTTTTTTTTTTCAGAGAGAAAGAAATATAACTAGAAGCACATGGTGTCACAGAAGTCAAGAGAATAAAAAGGTGGGGATGCCCATGAATATGGTCTGAGGGGCTCATTAAAATGAAAACGGAACACTAAAAAGGAAAGATGATTATGAAAGCCTTTACAAGTGTTAGAAGCAGAAATCAAACTACGAGTAGACAGGAGTAAAATGGGAGGAAGGCCTTGAGGAGGAGGGGGAAAAGCAGTAATAATAAAACTGTGAAGTAGATAAGATTATCACCTCTGCTCTCAGAAGGCACAGAGAGGCTAGGTAAATCTCTGCAGTGAAGCGAAGGGCAGAGCCTGGATAGGACCCAGGCGGCCTGCCGTGCACTCTTAGCCGACTGCTAAAGTATAAAAGAGACAAGAGATGCAGGTGAGCAATAAAACTCCAACTGACATCCCCCAAAGACACAGAAAGACTTTACAAGGAAACACAGAAGAACAGTTTGTTAAAGAATCTATTTCCAGAAGTTAAACTTTCCATATGTACTCTTTCCTAAACTCATCTGCCTGAAAACACACTTGTAGTTAAGGAGCCTTTCAGGTTCTCCTTTCTCAGTTCCCTTCTTCACAGCTGCCCTCCACTCACTTTACAAAGATGCCTTTTACCCAGCTTCCTATAGTGTGTTTCCCCACAGTATAGAAAACAGATATTCTCTAGGGCACCAAAGAAGGAGTTTGAAATACTGGTGTCCTTAATCAAGGCATCATAGACCAGAGATAGAGCTTGGGTCTTCCCTGTCTTATACAAGTTTCTGATAAGGTCTCATACCATTATAAATAACAGCTTCATGGCTGTTGGAAATAATAGTTACGACATTAGAAACAGAGTATTTTGGCCTCGGTAGGAATAATTTCCAGTTAGAAACTGTGCCTCTTTCATCCCCAATGAGTGTAAACAAATGTATTTTCCCTAAGGCAGAGTCTTATTACAGCAAAAAGAGCATCAGGAAGAAATACTAAAGACCACAGGGATTTTTTCAACCAGGTTCCATGCCTAATCCACCCATCTATCCATTTTAGAACTAGATTTCTAAAGTAGATGATTGTCATGGGGATGTATATCATGTTTATTTAAATTCAAAAACGAAGTCAAAGCTTTCTGTCAGAAAATAAGCCTGACTTAGATGATTTACTGTGGACTTCCTAGAACTGCCATGGCAATGAAGCAATACGGTAGGCATTTTCCATAAATTTAACGAGCTAAATCTATAGCTCCAAGGTTCTAGGAAAATATATTTAAAACATATGATATGATACAATTTTTAAAATGAAATACTTTATTGGCTAAAGTACAACTGAAATTAACAATATTTCAATTTTGGCAACCATTTCTAAATATATCAGTTAAACAAGGTACTTCTAAAGTAAAAGACTAATGTGTACAAGAATAGTCATCTGATAAATTTCAGAAAAACCTTTTTTGGTATACTTAGTTTCTAATTCTCTGCTTTCAACAAAATTGACAGACGACCTTATTAAGCTGTCAGCTGGTAAATCATTAAAATTTATTTTTGATGATGGACTAGTATTTAATTTTTAGCATATAACACAGGAACCCAATAAACTAAATGACATGGCTGTAACAAAATTCCTTCCTACTTGTTTATGTGAATAAAATTTCTCAGCCCTTTTAAATTATCTATTAAAAAAATAAAAAGAATCAGAAGTGATTCTTAACTTTGCTTCAATATATAAATTTAATGCAATCCCCATCAAAACTCTATAGATGAAATACTGCCATATGTGACAACACGGATAGATCTTAAGGTAATCACGCTAAGCAAATAAGTCAGAAGAAGCTGAGAACCATATGATTTCACTTATATATGGGATATAAACCTAAAAGCAACAAATGAACAAGAACAAAAACTCAAAGACAACAATTTAGTGGTTATCAGAAGGGAAGACATAGGTGGATAATGATAAAGGGGGTCAAATATATGGTGATAAAAGATTTGACTTTAGGTGAACACACAATATACAGCACTTGAAACCTACATAGTTTTGTTAACCAATGTCACCCCAATAAATTTAATAAAATAAACACCTTGCTTCATTCTAGCAATAAGTATCATCCAGGGACATATAAACTAATAATAGTTCTATCATCTCATTAAGAGATGCATTTCTAACTTAAAAGAAAAAAGTTTATTTAGAGGAAGAACGCTGGTATTAAGGGAGACTACCATGCCTTCCACTGCTTTGACAAAACCTCAGATGAGTGGCCTTCTGGCCAAGCGTCTGCAATGTCATATTGTTGGAGTGATCATTGTAATCCTGGAAGTTGCAGCTTTCTCTAAGTCTACTGTGGATAAATCAAGGAAGAAGGCATACACAGATTTATACAGAAATAATGATTCCATGGAAGACTGTGAGATGAAGAAGGCTGGTATCTTTCATAGTACAAAGTGACTTCAGAATGTAAAGAATTTCTTTGAGTTGACTTCCATGGAATTTTGTCACTGACCTGTGTTCCTCAACTATGAAACGTGAATATTTGGGGCAAGGAATAGTTTCTCTTGATAAACAATTAACAAATACTGTGGAGAAAAAAGTTTATTTAAATTGTGATATATTTGCTTTGATCAACTGTGTACTAAACCCCTCTTATAGCTGAGGAAGTGGAAATGAACACATAAAACAAGTGGAGGAAACCGATAGAGCCCATTTCTGAGGAGGGAATGGGCAGAGGGAGGACAGCCTTCTAGTTATCCTCGAAGCTCAAAGTTTCAAGACTAAAATTCTCTGATATTATTCAAACTCATTCCAAACAAGTGACTTCAGCATTTATAACTCTCCCTACTTTTCCTACTTCCTATAATCAAAATTGACTTTTAAAGAGAAAACTGTTTTTACTGTGACATATGAATAATGCTAACACTATTATCTAAAATGTAAAAAATCACTAAATTGTTTTAATCATTAAAATACTCATATTTTTAAAAAGACTTTAACAAGCATCCAAGCAGCCAGAAACAGAACTTGCTGAGGCAAGAGGGGTGAATGACTGAGCACCTGAAATCTAAGATCTCATTTTAAAACAGATCGCAACACTATAAGGTAGTTGATACCATCTGCACTTTACAGATGGAGAATCTGCAGCTCAAAGAGGTTAGGTAACTTATCATTACTTTAATACACAGCATAGTCAGATTCTAACCCAAGTCTGACTCTAATGAGAAGGCTGTTTTCTATCCAGCTACGTGGTTTACAGTTGCTTCTGAATCAGAGATTAAATTAACTATTTAGTGTAAGTTTACTTCTCATGGTCTAATTCTTTGAAAAATTGAAGCCTATATAATAGTAACACAAACCTGGCATCTAAGAAAATTTCATTCCTTTACTGTAATGGATAAGAATAGGTTAACAGGACAAATAAACTGAAAAATGACTCCTCAGTTATTGATTACCAGACATCCTTCAACAGAATAAGCAATTCTCTGTGGTTACTTGACTCCTACTTCTACGATATCAGATATTAATAAGCTTATCTGGACTGGAAAGAAAAGAAGCAAGGAAACACAGCAAAAACAAGGATTACATACTAAAATTTTTAAAATGCAATATAGTTTTTAGGAATTTATGTACTGAAACCATTTTCTGTTTACTAAATTTTGGAACATGAACCAAATTCCAACATAACCAGTTGAATGATTCCATGCTTTCACCTAAATCCAGTAAATTCATTAGGAAGAAAAGCACACTTACCTGATAAGCACGTCATTAGGCCCAAGGCAAGCATAGCACCTGCCAACACTGTCAAACGGTTATAGCGCATCGCCATAATGGCTGCTATAAAAAATGTCTTATCACCCAGTTCAGATACAATGATAACTGATATGGCAGCGACAAATGCATGGATAAATCCCAAATTTGTCTGGGTATCTGGGTCTTCTTTATTGTTATGAACTGGGGCTGCTGGTGTGAGTCCTTTCTGAAATAAAAAAATATATATGTATATGTACATCAGTTACTTTTTGAAATAAATCATTATTTAAAACTCTTGTATGTGAATTAAGACTGTTTTTCTGTCATGAACATTAGACTTATTTACTGTCTATCACTTTGAAAGCCATTACTAATGAAAGAAACATCTATTTATGGTTGCTGCAATGCAGATCCAAGTACAATTCTACAAAACAAGAAAAAACATGTAGACCAAGTATAGCCACACATTAAAATTATCTTATTTTCTAAGTGATTATGAGATGAGATTTAATTCTCAGCTATGTCTCAAATTTTTATTTGGGTGGAAGACCAAAGCATGTTTATCAAACATACAAGTAACAGGCAGCTCAGAGAAATTTCACTAACACTTTAGAGCAGGGGTCTCCAACCCCCGAGCCACAGACCCGTACTGGTCTGTGGCTTGTCAGGAAACGGACTGGCCAGCGAGCAAAGCTCATCTGTATTTGCAGCTGCTCCCCAGCACTAGCATCGCCGCCTCAGCTCCACCTCAGATCATCAGGCATTAGATTCTCATAGGAGTTTCAGTCCCTGGTGCCAAAAAGGTTGGGGACCGCTGTTTTAGAAGACAAAAATTCAGAAAGCTCTCAACAGGTTGTAGCAATATAATGCTCTAGCTAAGATGAGGTCTAATATAGCTGGATATATGGGTGCTGGAATACTAAAGTAAAAAATATCCTAAGCGATAATATGGCCTAATAAAAAAGACAAACCAGAGTTTTGGTTGACATTAAGGTCATTTTAAGTAAAAACTGTGACAAGGCACTTTAAAGACTTAGTGACCCAGCAGTCTATGCTGCTCAGTCTTTCTCCAAAGTTCTGTACTGGTTCTGAGGCACCACATTTTAAGAAGGCACTGCCCTCTGAAGATAATCCCAGACAGATGATAAAATCAGGGTTTAGCAAGCTACTGCTAAGAATATTTCTGACATTTTTAAGGGGTTGCAAAAAATAAAGAGGAGGAGGGAAGGAAAGGAAAGTTATGCAACAGAGACCTTAAGTAGCCTGCAAATATGTGGCCCAACCTAAAATATTTATTATCTGGCCCAGTACCAAAAAACTTGCCAACTCAGACTCTAAAACAATCATGTAAGAGACCAGGAAGGACTGGGTGCCTATGTTCCAATAACTGAGAAAGTCTGTATGTGAGTCTGCACGGTTCTAAGAGGTAGAGCTAAAAAGTTCCAGGTGGCAGATTTTAACTTAATACAGAGAAAAGATTTCTACCCCAAGAGAGCCACCTGAAGCTGAAATGGACTGCTAGAAAAGGTGGAGAGTTCCCTCCTCAACTTCAGAGGTCCAGGGAAAGGAACCAGCATTTACAGGAAATGTACTTTATTGGTGGTGCTCAACCAGGGTGATTTTGTCTTCCAGGGCACTTTTGGTAATGTCTGGAGACATTTTTGGTTGTCACAACTAAAGAAGAACTACTGGCATCTAGTGCGTAGAGGCCAGAAATGCTGCTATGGGCAGGTCATAATGAAGAGGAAACCCACCCTCCACCCCCAAGACAGAATTATCTAATACAAAATATCAATAGCTCCCAGGTTGAGAAACCCTGGACTAGATAAATGTAAAGGTCTCTTCCAAGCCTCACAGCCTATCTGTAATTAATTTTTAAAGCCTACGAATCTCTAGAAGCCTAAAATTAAAAAAAGAAAGAAACCCAAGAACGTATGTGATTTGTGATAAGGTAAAAACAGAATTACTTACAAAGGCCCCAGAGATGGCAGAGATAAGAATAAAATTCTAAATTCTTAGTGTGCATGTCATTCCTTAGCACATGACATAAACTTGACTCCCAAATTCCACAGTAAAGAAAATTTCAAGCATTACTCAGCCTGGATTTCTGAGCAAAAAAACAGGGGAATTAAATATTTCAGAAAATACTTGGTGTTAGGGCTAAATCAAAACGGCGGCCTTGGAAACCATCTCTGATTAAGCAAGTACCATTTTTCAGGATTACAGCTTTTGCTCCATTATCATTTTTGTTCCATCTATGCTGATGTTCCTTTAAAATTGAGTTTCCCTTCTCTTCCAATACCGTATGAGCGTTAATATCATAAAAAAATAAGCATTTTAAAATTTATTTTTAATAATAGTATTTTCATTTGGCTTTCATTAATGCAACATTTTCTTCTTGAATATACCTTCTGTACGAAGAAATTACATTGTAGGATCTGAAATCCAAGAAAAGTTTTAGGAATAAATTACACACCATTATGACCAATTAGCTCCAAGCTCAAAAAGAAAATGTTTACTTTAGCGACCAAAACTATTCTCATGGTTTTATAATTCCCAGCCATAAAACCTTAGCCACATTATCTAGTTTCTCTGTCCCTCTGTGAAATGATTAAATAAAACCTGCCTTAAAAGTACAACAAGATACTACATATTCTTAAAAACTTTCTATATACAGAACATAAGAAAACTCAGCTTAAAGCTTCTGTTATATATTGAGCTGGTCCTGGACAGCCAAAATGATAGTGTTAAAAAATCACCAACCATCTTAGTGGTAAGAATTTAAAACAAAAGTATTAGGGTATTATGAAGATAGATTTTTTAAAGTTAAAATGTTAACACGGTCAGAAAATGATCAGTTACTATTCAATCACTTAGTGTCAAATGCCTAAGTGCTTACAATGTATAGAAATCATCTTTTTCTAATTCACCTTCAGAGTGACATAATGCAGTGGGTTTAGTCTGTGGGCCCTGGAATCAGACTGCCTGGGTTCATAGCCAAGGCATTACCAGTTACTTGCAGTTTCATCTGCAAGATGAGGGGTACCTACACCTTACAGGGTTGGTATGAGCATTATGTGAATTAATAAATACACATAAAGCCCTTAGATGGTGCCTAGTACACAGTAAGAACTCAGTTAAGTTAGTTATTGTAGCACACTATATCTTCCTAAATATTTCATTGTTAGTTCACTAAGAAACTGATATTCATATATATAGATACATTTTTATGCATATATATTTATATGAATAAACACATACACACATACATACATACACACACACTTTTGCTACTATTCCTGGGAAAAGAGATTATAGTAATTAAGGTACTATGGATCAAATTTGACAGGAATGCTAACAAGAGTTAATTTTAGCTGCAAATAAAGAACACAAACAGGTAAAAACAGAATATTTTATTTAACCCAAAATAATTCTCTAGGAATATTTTTTAAATTATGACTGGGATTTTTAACATTTTTTTTTCATACCAAGTCTTCCAACTCCAGTATGTATCTACCCACCACCTGTCTGATGCACATCTCAGTTTGGACTAGCCATATCAAGTGCTAAAGAACCACATGGCTCATAACCACAGTACTGGGCAGTGCAGCCCGAGGACACATCAAGTTTTTGGTAACCACAGGTCTTCAATCATGCAGTCCTACTTCCCTATCTTCTTTTCGTTATCCCCCTATTTATCTAGATTCCTCAAGATCCAACTGATAAAGAAACTCTTGAGCAAGGTCTATCCCAACGACTCCAGCCCTTAATGGTCCTTCTCCCCTAGAATAAAACTGAATGAATACTGTGGGCAATGAATCATGGAACACAAAGGACTAAAACGTTTAAGGTGAAAACACTCAAGGAGTTAATCTTTTTTGCATTAGAAACATGTATAAATGTAATGTTATCATCTGTAATAATAAAAAGACTAAATGTCCATCAAATAGGGTACTGATTAAATAAATGGTAGCTCCATATATTGGAATATTATGGGGCTAAAAGAATTTCATATATACTAAAAAGGGAAAAAAATCACTAAAATTTTTAAGTTGGAAAAAAGGACATCTTATGTATATAGTCATTGCTTGTATGTGTGTGGAGGGGCAGGGAGTTATAAAGTATATACAGAGTTAATGCACACCAAATCTCAGAAAACAGGAACGGTGGGTTTGTTTCTAGGGAAGGAACCAGGATGACTAAAACAAGGGTCGGCAAACTTATTTTTAAAGGGACAAACATGTAACCATGGGCCATAAAGTCTCTGTGGTACCCAACTCTGATGCTGTAGCTTGAGATCAGCCATAGATAATACTTAAATGAATGGGCATGGCTCTGTTTCAATAAAATTTTATTTATAAAAACAGTCAGTGGTAAACTACAGTTTGCTAACCCCTGAAATAGAATACAAGAGAAACACACTTTTCATTTTACATTCTTCTGTACCTTTTGGAATTTTTACCAAAAATCTCGATCCAATCTCTTACTCCAGCTATGGAGGACCAATTCCTTGTAGTCTGTAAATGGCTTCAGGCAGGTCCAACCAGAAAGTGCGTGCTCTGCTCTTACTCATTCACCACCCAGAAGTATAGAGGAGTTAGTAACTGTTGGGAAAATCAGTTCTGAGGTTCATTTCAAAAGGCTCCTTCAAAGTCTCAGCGGATCAGCACTAGTCGCTCATGCAATGGCTAACTTGAAAATGCATTAGCGTACATTCATTTACCACCTTCCCTGGACTGACAATTTTAAAGAATATCGGCAGGTTCTGGAAACAGGGAGTAAACCATCAGATGAATACTTGGGGAAACATAAGATAAACAGGGCCCACACTATATTTTATGGACCAGCTTAGAGGGAAGGTAGAAGCCCTTAAAGTTTTTGAGTTGAAGACAGAAGCATGAGTAAGGCGCTGTGACTAACAGATCAGGGCAAAAAGCAGAGAACACCAGCCACTGGATCAATTAATTAGGAGGTCAGCTGCACAAGACCAACGTTGAAGACAAAATAGAGAAGGAAATAATTTTGTATATGATGGAAAGGAAAATCAATAGAACTTTAAAAATGGGGAAGAATCAAAGATGATGGTAAGGTTTTCTGCCTGGTTGACTAAGAGAAATATTAATATTTCTATAAGGTATGTGGTAAAGAGGAATAAAAATAGGAGTTTTGTTTCAGACATGTTTTATTTGAGGTGATAAAAAGTTTTCAAGAGGTCATACAAATGGGTCACCTGAGTATAGGCCGGCACAGACTCAAGGTATGTATCTGGTTACTGGCAGCCTAAATTTATCAGCTCGAACTTTGTAAATAGATAAAATTTCCAAGGGAAAAGGCAGAGATTAAGTTGAAAAAATGAGCCTTACAGAATGTCTGTATTTAGGGAAAGGCATGGAAGGGTAAAAAAAAAAAAGAGAGAAAATAAAAACTATCTTAGATATTTAGAAAGTAAGGCAGAAAAATCACAGATGATCAAGATAGGGGCAATCACTATTCACTGAGCTACTAACTAGATGCCAGGTATTTTCATATACACTGATACTCAAAAATCTTAAGAGCTATTATTCCAACTTAGTACAAGAGGAGAAACTGAGGACCAAGAGTGTTAAGTAATTTTCCCAAGTTCATACAGCCAAGATGGGGTGGGGCTCTTGAAAAAGTGGAGAGAAAACTGTTTCATATGAGCAATGAAAAAGAGTCCTGGATTTAACAATTAGGTAGGTTACTGGTATCCTTCAAAAACAGAATTTCGATAAAAAGACAGGGGCTAAAGCTAGAGGATGGAAGACTAAAACAAAGTGAACAAGCAGATAATCACCTAGATAGAAATTTGGTTTATAAAACTAAAGATTGCAGTAAGCTGCAATCTTTTTGCTGGTGGAGGGTCTTGCCTTCAATTTGTAAAAAACAACAAAAAAAATCATACAATATGTGTGAAGCACAACAAACCCAGGTATGCCTGTAATGAAGTCAACTAGAGTTAAATTAATGGCCTTTTTTTTTTTTT